CCCGCGCCGCGCCGGCCGCCCCTTCGCCCCGCTCCCTCCCGCCGTCCCGGTGACAGCCGCCGTCGGGGCTTGGAAAGCGGCTGCCAGCGGGGTTGTGAAACCCGGCTAGCTGCTCCCCCCCCCGCTCGGCAGGATGCGCGCCGGTCCGGGAGCGGGGCGGTTTGGCGGGGGGCGGGGGGGGGACGCCGGGCCCCGGCGCGACCGGAGAAGAAGCCGCCGCACGGCTCGGTCAGCCCCGCTCGCATCGCCCTCGCTGCTGGCAGGCTACGTGTTATTCATTAAGCATAAGACGGGAGCACCTCGCACCGGCGAGCGCTCTTTTTCTTTTTTTTTCCGTCTTCTTTTTTTTTTTTTTTTTTTTTTTTCCGTCTTCTTTTTTTTTTTTTTTTTTGTCAGAACCAGCACTTTTCCTTTCAAACCCTTTCATTAGACCCTGCGTAAAGCGGCGAGCTGAAACGGGAGCAAACCGTTCGATTCCAATCAAACCAACACTTCTCAAACCTGCTTTTTAGCGTAATTATGCTCGTTTCCATTTTGTTAACCTTTGACTTCTCATGCACCAACAATTAACAGTATTTGTCTACGGGTGACACTTTGAATGGATCTCCCCAAAACAATGGCCTGGTGCAGTTTATTCTCTACTATTCCCTCCTGCGAGAGGAGTTTGGATGTGACAAGCGGTTACAACTGCGCTTTAACCCGTTACAACTACTAGCAATGACTCATTAACAACTCACATACATACAAAAATAATAATTAAAAAAAAACAAAACACGCACGCAAACAAACAAATAATTTGACAAATAAATTAAATAAAACGCGTCTATACCTGAGTGAGACAGATTGGAGAATACATCATGACTTCGCTTTGAGAACACGCTGCCCGGAGAGTCTCTAAGAAAAGCCTCAAAAAGAAATAATTTCATCTATTGATTTTACAGTCATCTGAGACTCAAGGAAGATGAAATCAATCAGGACGGGGCTCTGCCCTGGATCACCACAACTTCACAACAAACCCCAGTCCTCCTTAAATAGCCAAAGATTCAAGTTCACTCCGTGTGCTAGATTTCCCGGGGTGAAATCCAATCTACACTTTTAACCCTCTTCTAGTCGGCGGCGCAGGAGTCTTGCTTTTGCTGCTGCTGCTGCTGCTGGTTGTTTTGCAGATGAGGGGGGAAGGACTCAAGGGGGGGGTGGTGAGGTGGGCGGGAGGATTTTTTTTTTTTTTTTGGCCTTTTTTTTTTTTTTTTTTTCCAAGAAGTTGCTGTTGGTGGGTTATTACGGCACTGTCACCACGCTCTCGAAAGTTCAAAGTCACGGCCCGAAGCGGGGAGCAGGAAAATCCCGGAGAGCGATGGCA